TGCTCATCTAAAACAGAACAAAAAGGCAAAGGCGTTATGTAAGCACTGAGGTAAAAACAAGCAGGCTGGGTCCTGGCCGGCCGGGCATAGCTTGGCAGGCTCTGCCTTCCTGGGCCCTCCAGCCGACCAGGAGGCACATGGAGCAAGCAGGAGAGCATTGCCACCAAAGGCAGCCGGCACTCCAGTGCAAACAGCCTTGGCCTTCTGGGAAGAGCTGCCTGAGCCCCGCCAGCCCACGGCTCCTCCACACTGGGGCTCCCGTCTCTGCCAGAGCAGCTGGGGGAGACCTCCCTGAAATCTCAGAGAGAGGGCCGGAGAATGCCAACTGTTCCCCCGACCATCCCAGGCCTGCCCTTGAAGCCCTGCCTTCTGCTGTACCCCTAGCTCCATCTTGCCAGTGAGATGCAGCAGCCCTTCCTCCATCCTCAGCTCTGCAGCAGCTCCCAGGGCCCGGATAGGGGCCTGCTGCCTGTCCACGGCCGGCCTGTACCTCCAGCGAGAGTCCTGTCCCTAAACCCACGGGGGCATGTGAGGGACGAGCTTCACCCTTCCTGACTCTCATATGTCTGCCCTGTCTCTGTGCTTTTGGGCCACCTTGGGCCACACAGCCCAAGCCTGGACCCTGGTTTGGTGAAGCTGCGCTGCCCGCCGTGCCGGCCAGGACCCTGGCCAACCCTACCGCAGGGTCCCTGTTGGCCCCACACCGTTTTATCATCCTTGCTGCTCCTCTGACCTCTTCTTCTTCCTCTCCCAACCAGCCCCAAAATGACACACCAAGAATGACGAATGGGGCTCGGTGGGAGAGTGCTCACCTGGCATGTAGTAGGAAGCCCTGGATTCGATTCCTCAGCACCACACACACAGAAAAAACCAGAAGTGGCGCTGTGACTCAAGTGATAGCTGCTAGCCTTGAGCAAAAGCTCGGAGACAGTGCCCAGGCCCTGAGTTCAAGCCCTAGGACTGGCAAAAAATTAATTTTTTTAAAAGAATGACGAATGAAGCCAGAAATGAGCCAGAACCTCCCAGCTCCCAGCTCCCAGGGGACTTTCCTCCTGCCGGCAGCAGCCGCCTCCAGCCTGTTCACCTGCCAGTCCACCCACACCCCCGCTCTTCCTGGCTCAGCTCCCAGACAGGGACGGCTGTCACCACGCTCCTGAGCCCGGCACCCAGCGAGCACCTTCCAGGGACTCAGTCTCGACTCCAGGCAGCCAGCCGCAGAGACAGAGCCAAAACACACAGACATGCGTGTGTGAGTGCTTTCTGTGCACACCCTACATATCCACACGCATTCACACACACACCATGTATGCACGTGTGCACTGCCCTGGCTTCTCAGGCTCCAAGATTCCTACCACAAGACACACGTGGGGGGGTGGGGGGGGGCAGGGAGCCCTAGGCCCACGTCCACACAGGAGCCCGGTGGGGGGTGGGGATATGCCCTCTGACCGGTTTAAGGGAGGGTGCAGGGGCCCTAGGGAGACCTGAGGAAATGAGCTCAGCGGACTCCAGAGCCCAGCTCCAACGCCTCAGTCTCCCAAAATGCTCATCAGACTGCCACGAAGGGTCCGAGTAGAGCCTGCTTTAAATTATCCGCCAACCCTGGCGCTGGTCGCCCACCCCATAGCTGCATGCAGGACCTGTGCCAGGCCCCAGCTGCCTCGGGATGGCACTCCAGTACCTGCCAGCAGCCAGCTACCCGGGGTCCAGGACACCCAAACAGCAGCCCAAGTGCCCCGGCCCTGACAGCCCCCCTGCTAGGCCCCTGGGCTCTCGGGGTGCTGTCACCTGTCCCTGCCCCTGCCATCTGTCCAGCTGTCTACTGGGCTCCCTAGGCATGTCCTGGGTCTGGCCCCACTGGACTTCCAGGGGCTCCCCCTCTCCCCCCCCCGTTGGCAATGGCAGGGGCCACCACAGGCCCAGGCCTGACAGGGTCCCAGCCCCGCCCCAGTGTTCCCCTTCCTCTGGGCCTGGCTCAAGTAGCACAGAGGCGTCAGGTCAGGATGAAGTCACACTCCTCCCAACAGGAGGCCCACCTCAGCTACCTTGTCCCTCAGCTCTGGTGTGTGGTCAGCCGTGCCCAGTCCCCCAAAGCCCCTTCCCTGAGAGCTTCAGGAGCAAGTCAGAGCCCTGGGGCCACAGCTGCCATGGGGCCCAGGTTTTGACCTCTCCAGAGTCTGTGGTGGGCTGGACACAGGATCTGCAGAAGGCATCCAGCACAGAAACTCGGGTCTCCCTTACCCCACCCCAGAAGAGGACCCGCCTTCCAGGCCACTGCAGCCAATGGACACTCATCTTACAAGGACTCCATTGGGAACAGGAGGGCCCCACCTGTCTTCAGCGTCCTGGGAGCTCACAAGGACGTGTCTTTCTTCACCCAGAATGTGCCCGCCTGATGGTAGATAGTATGGCCCAGCAGGACACCGGCCAGCAGGACAGGCGAGCCTGGCAGCAGGCTGACCTGACTGGACCGCAGCCTGCGGTTAACTAGGGCCTCCAGGGGGGCCAGAGCTGGCATCGGAAGAGACAGGAGGGGGAGGGGCTTGAGGCCCCTGGGGGTCTGACATGGGGCTTCCTCCAACTCCAGGCCAAGGACTGTTTCTCACTCCAGCCCTGTCTCAGGATAAGAAATTTCTTGTTTGAGCCCAAGCGGGCTCAGTGCGTAAGGACAACCTCCTTGGACCAAGAGGTTCTGTGGAGTCACACTAGGTCCTCCTGCAACAATGGTCCTGCACAGGCCAGCGGCCCAGGGACCGGCCCAGGAACGACTGGTGTCCTTGAGCAGGACACCCAGTCAAGTCAGATGAACAACTAATACCTTTTAGTGTAGCTATGTCCCATGTGCATGCATATGTGTGTGTGTGTGTGTGTGTGTGTGCGCTAGTCATATATATTGCACTGGTCCTAGCACTTGAGCTCATGGCCTGGCATGGTCCCTGGGCTTTTTCACTGAAGGCAAGCTCTCTACCACCTGAGCCATGCCTCCGCTTTTTTTTTTTTTTGGTGACTAATTGGAGAGAAGAGTCTCACAAATTTTTCTGCCCAGGGCGGTTTTAAACTGTGATCCTCAGAGCTCAGTCTCCTGAGTAGCTAGGTGTGAGCCACTGGTACCTGGCTGTCCCAAATATTTTAGGCTAACAACGTAGGTGGTATGTATCTGAAGGTCAGGTTTGATGGGGCATCTTGTATCTTTGTCTGCTAACTCGGCCCCCTCCCTGGGAGGCCTCTGATGTGTGGGGTCTGTGGGCAGCCACCGCTTCCTGGTCGCCCACGTTGCCTCACTCCCTCTGCTACCTTCCTGAGGTGCTGAGGGTTGGTGGAGACAGCAGCAGTCCTTCTGAGGGCTCCCTGTGTGTCTCTCTGGCCGGCAGAACTGCCCCTCACTCAGGCTGCACGGCTTCCATCTGCCCAGTGTAGAGCACTAAAGAACACCTGGAACTTGTGATGACAACTCTATGCAAGAAAGGATTCCAGGCCTCCAGGAGAGGTCTGACTGCAGTCACATGGGCCTTAGGGGGGAGATGTGACACACCCTCCAAAGAGGTGCAGCCACCTGACAGGGAGACGGGGGCAGGCGGGCTGGACACCAGGGCCTGGCCCCAGCTCCGGAGCGGGGAGGACGGAGGCGCCCTGCCTGCCTGCAGTACCTTGCCTCCATGGTGCGGACTCTGAGCTGGACGGTCACTGTGACAGGGACCCGGGGGGACTAACGCACTGGGATCTGGGGGCCCCTGTCTGCACACCTCTCGGGAACTGCCGCAGTCCACACCCACCGCAGGCAGGATGGGGGGAGGGGAGCCGAGAAGACTGCCTTGGACCCTGTGAGCAGGACCAGGGAAATCTGCCAACCAGCCTCCATCTGCAGCAATAAGAGCAGGCCTGGCCAGAGGAAGCTTCGTGGAGCAGGGGTGAGTGGACAAAGAGCAGCCATGCTGACCAAGGGCAGGGCAGGGCCGGCTGGATGACCACAGGGCCACAAGGAGGGCCGACGCCTACTGACAAGTCCTTCTAGGCCAGGAGTTCTCCCTCCCCGGCGGGCGCTGGCGGACCTGGGGCTAGCTCGCCCACACTCGGGGAGGGGCGCCCTCTACTGCCCACAGGGCAGCCCGGGGCTGGGCTGGGTGACCTCGGGGGTCAGAGGGCGGCTGGGCTGGGTGACCTCGGGGGTCAGAGGGCGGCTGGGCTGGGTGACCTCGGGGGTCAGAGGGCGGCTGGGCTGGGTGACCTCGGGGGCCAGAGGGCGGCTGGGCTGGGGTGACCTGGGGGCAGGGGCAGCGGCGTGGGGGCGGGCAGCAGCGCACACAGCCGTGGGGTCGCTCAGTTTATTGGGGGGCACGGGCACTGAGCGGGGCGGGCGCGCGCGGAAGCCGGGGCGGGGCGCTTTTCCTCTTGAAGAACTTCCACTGGACCTTGATGGCGAGCATCCAGTCGCTGACGTAGAGCCTCTTACAAGCGGAGGTGCAGACATGCGCCTGGCGGGGGGGCGGGGCGGCGCCGCGGAGGGGGCGGGGCCGCGGGCGGGGGGCGGCGCCGCGGAGAGGGCGGGGCCGCGGGCGGGGGGCGGGGCCGCAGAGGGGGCGGGGCCGCGGGCGGGGGTCGGCGCCGCGGAGGGGGCGGCGCCACAGGGAGGGGGCGGCGCCGCCGGGGAGGGCCGAGCCGCGGAGGGGGCGGGGCCGCGGCCAGGGGGCTGGGCCGCGGGGAGGGCGGGGCCGCGGGCGGGGGGCGGGGCCGCAGAGGGGTCGGGGCCGCGGGCGGGGCGCGGCGCCGCGGAGGGGGCGGGGCCGCGGGCGGGGCGCGGCGCCGCGGAGGGGTCGGGGCCGCGGGCGGGGCGCGGCGCCGCGGAGGGGGCGGGGGGCGGGGCCGCAGAGGGGGCGGGGCCGCGGGCGGGGCGCGGCGCCGCGGAGGGGGCGGGGCCGCGGGCGGGGCGCGGCGCCGCGGAGGGGGCGGGGCCGCGGGCGGGACGCGGCGCCACCGGGGAGGGCCGCGCCGCGGGCGCCCGCGCTTCACTTGCCGGCCTTCTGCGCCTTCTGCGCCGATTTGGTGACCTTGCCTGCCCCGCCACTCTTCTTCTCCACGTTCTTGATGACGCCCACGGCCACCGTCTGCCGCATGTCGCGGACGGCGAAGCGGCCTGTGCGGAGGGATGCGTGAGCGGCGGCCGAGATGCAGCGCGCATGCGCACTGGCCCAGACGGCATCCCGGCCCGGCCCCGGCGGCCCCGCACCACGCAGGGGTCCGGCCCCGCCTGTGGCTGCCGGCCGGGCCATCCTGCTGGGAGGCCACTCAGCCACTGTGGGCCTTGCGCAAGTCATGTAAGGGACGCCATCGCCGGTCTGCCCAGCCACCTGCACTCAGTCACCAAAGCCAAGGGTCTCTTGAAAGCCAAGGGCCCCCACCCACTGCGCACCTCCTCCCCAGGGGTCTCCACTCTCAGTTGGGATGGGTGGCCGGCTCCAGGCTGCGAAGCCCTCAGCACCCCCAGCTCATCTAGGAGTGGGTACCACGTTCAGCCCCCCAGCTCATCTAGGGGTGGGTACCACGTTCAGCCCCCCCCAGCTCATCTAGGGGTGGGTACCACGTTCAGCCCCCCAGCTCATCTAGGGGTGGGTACCACCCTCAGCACCCCCCAGTTCATCTAGGAGTGGGTACCACCCTCAGCACCCCCCAGTTCATCTAGGAGTGGGTACCACGTTCAGCCCCCCCAGCTCATCTAGGAGTGGGTACCACCCTCAGCACCCCCCAGTTCATCTAGGAGTGGGTACCACCCTCAGCACCCCCCAGCTCATCTAGGAGTGGGTACCACCCTCAGCGCCCCCCAGCTTATCTAGGAGTGGGTACCACCCTCAGCGCCCCCCAGCTTATTTGGAGTGGGTACCTCCCTCAGGCCCCCCCAGCTCATCTAGGAGTGGGTACCACGTTCAGCCCCCCCCCAGCTCATCTAGGAGTGGGTACCACCCTCAGCACCCCCCAGTTCATCTAGGAGTGGGTACCACGTTCAGCCCCCCCAGCTCATCTAGGAGTGGGTACCACGTTCAGCCCCCCCAGTTCATCTAGGAGTGGGTACCACATTCAGCCCCCCCAGTTCATCTAGGAGTGGGTACCACCCTCAACCCCCCCCAGCTCATCTAGGAGTGGGTACCACGTTCAGCCCCCCCAGCTCATCTAGGAGTGGGTACCACGTTCAGCCCCCCCAGCTCATCTAGGAGTGGGTACCACGTTCAGCCCCCCCAGTTCATCTAGGAGTGGGTACCACGTTCAGCCCCCCCAGCTCATCTAGGAGTGGGTACCACGTTCAGCCCCCCGGCTCACCGAGGGGTGGGTACTGTGAGAAGCTCTCCACACACATGGGCTTCCCGGGAACCATCTCCACGATGGCTGCATCGCCAGACTTCAGGGACTTGGGGTTGTCCTCCAGCTTCTTGCCAGAACGCCGGTCGATCTTCTCCTTCAGCTCTGCAAACTTGCAGGCAATGTGGGCTGTGTGGCAGTCGATGACTGGTGAGTAGCCAGCGCTGATCTGCCCAGGGTGGTTCAGTATGATGACCTGAGGACAGGGTTGCATGAGACCGTGAGGCATGCTCTGTGCGTGGCTGCCTAAGGAGGGGAGGGTCAACCCTAGGTGGAGGCTCGGGCATGGGGGTGACGCCTGGACCCCACCCCCACCCCCAGCCTGCGTGAGAGTGTTGACTGGGGAGGAGGCTCACACCATGGGGGCCCGCCTCCAGACCGAACCCCAATGAACTTGCTGAACTCCTGAGAAGCCACTGAGCAACAGCTGACTACACTGTTTGAAACCCTGTCCATGGGCGAGAGAGAAGGCAAGTGAGCCTCACAGTTGTTACAACCTACGGAAGTCATTTTAGAAATTTTCCTTCCACGAAGAGATGATCAAAGAGGGTACAACTTAAAAGGTAGAGAATCATCAAGTATTGCAGAGGAGCTGGGCAGAGGGGGACACTCCTGAGATGTACAGGTATGGTTTGAGGCCAACCCAGGCAGAAAAGTCTGTCAGACTCCATTCCCAAACTAACCAGCAAAAAGTAGGGCTGGAGATGTGGCTCAAATGCTAAAGCACCAGCCAAGAAAAGCAAGCAAGCTAGCAAGTGAAAGGCCCTGACTTGGAACCACAGTACTGCAAAATAAACAACCAAACATGGATCTCAAAGACAAGCTCTGGCAGCCTAGGGCTGCGCAGAGGCTGCAGTGTGTGTGTGGCGGGGGACTCGGGTGTCACTCTGCCTGCCCACCGGACGCCTCAGGTCTGGGTGGCCCTGTGCAGACATGGTGATTGTCATCCCAGCACCAGCAGGCCCTGTCCCGCTCTGGGAGCGAATGCCCACCTGGGAGGTGAACTGGGCGGCCTCCTGCGGCGGGTCCGACTTGCTGTCCCCACACACGTTGCCCCGCCGGATGTCCTTGACAGACACATTCTTCACGTTGAAGCCCACATTGTCCCCAGGCAGGGCCTCGCTCAGCGCCTCATGGTGCATTTCTACCGACTTCACCTCCGTGGTGATGTTCACCGGAGCGAAGGTCACCACCATGCCCGGCCGAAGGATGCCAGTCTCCACTCGGCCCACGGGGACCGTGCCAATGCCTGGGCCCAGAGGAGGGAGGTGTGAGGGGCTTCGGGTGGGGATGTGGGGCAGGTCGTTTAGGCACAGAAGCAGAGGCCTCAGGAGCAGGGTGGGAGCGTGCCACACGTTTGGGGTAGGGCAGGGGTCCTGGAAGAGGAAGACGCTGAGATTCTGAGAGGTGGAGGTCCCCTGGTTCAATCAGGGGAGGAAAGGCCGGAGTTCCAGAACCTCGAGGGCAGGAGACAGTGCCGTGTGGGGAAGGGTCCCCTCCAATGGCTGTTCATAGCACGGGGCGGGCTAGTTCACCCGGGGCCCCTGCGGTGGGCCCAAGGCCCTGCCCACCAGGGGCTCCCTGCGCCCAGCACAGCCTCTGTCGCGGAAGGGGCATCCACACCCAGCCCTTCCCACAGGTCTGCCCACAGCAGCCTGGGTGGCTGCCAAGATGACAGCCTGGCTTCCCAGGGAGGGGTTCTCTGAGGCCTGGGTCGCACAGTGGGAGGCAGATGTGGAAGCTGTGGCTGGGGGGCTGGGGTCACACCTCGGGCTGGAGCCCCTGCAGGTCTTATCTGTGAGGGCCTATTTATCCTGTGACCTGTTTTTCTCATTTCTGGATGGGGACCTTTGTGGGGTGAAGTGTGAGTCGCCTCTGCTCCCACCTTCTGCCTCCACCTCCTGGCTCAGAGCTGAGCACCTGGAGGGAGGAGAGTGGGTAGGGTGGACAAGTGGAGGACCATGGGTAGGGTGGACAGGTGGAGGACCATGGGTAGGGTGGACAGGTGGAGGACAGTGGGTAGGGTGGACAGGTGGAGGACCATGGGTAGGGTGGACAGATGGAGGACAGTGGGTAAGGTGGAAGATGGACAGATGGAGGACAGTGGGTAGGATGGACATATGGAGGACAGTGGGTAGGATGGACAGATGGAGGACAGTGGGTAGGATGGACAGATGTGGACAGATGGAGGACAGTGGGTAAGGTGGAGGATGGACAGATGGAGGACAGTGGGTGAGGTGGAGGATGGACAGATGGAGGACAGTGGGTGAGGTGGACAGATGGAGGACAGTGGGTGAGGTGGGTAGGATGGACAGATGGAGGACAGTGGGTGAGGTGGAGGATGGACAGATGGAGGACAGTGGGTAGGATGGACAGATGGAGGACAGTGGGTGAGGTGGAGGATGGACAGATGGAGGACAGTGGGTAGGATGGACAGATGGAGGACAGTGGGTAAGGTGGAAGATGGACAGATGGAGGACAGTGGGTAGGATGGACAGATGGAGGACAGTGGGTAGGATGGACAGATGGAGGACAGTGGGTAAGGTGGAGGATGGACAGATGGAGGACAGTGGGTAGGATGGACAGATGGAGGACAGTGGGTAGGATGGACAGATGTGGACAGATGGAGGACAGTGGGTGAGGTGGAGGATGGACAGATGGAGGACAGTGGGTAAGGTGGAGGATGGACAGATGGAGGACAGTGGGTAGGATGGACAGATGGAGGACAGTGGGTGAGGTGGAGGATGGACAGATGGAGGACAGTGGGTGAGGTGGACAGATGGAGGACAGTGGGTGAGGTGGAGGGTGGACACACGGATGGGAGAGTGGGCAGGTGTACTGAGGGGAATGGGTCGTCCCCTCCAAAGCGGGTGGTGTGAGGATGCCAGGCTCCGCGCTGGGCCCTGGTGCAGGGGAAGGCGGTGGGGGCTGGGGCACCGCGTGAGCATGAGCCCTCACTCACCGCCGATCTTGTACACGTCCTGCAGCGGCAGGCGCAGAGGCTTGTCTGTGGGGCGTGTCGGGGGCAGGATCGTGTCCAGGGCCTCCAGCAGGGACACGCCACTCGCGTTCCCTTCCTTGCGTTCCACTTTCCAGCCCTTGAACCACGGCATCTAGAGGGGGAGACACCGATAGAGCACAGCCTGCCGTGGCCTCCGGCCCTGGGGCCTGCCTACCAGGCCTGGCCCTCAAGAATGGGCGGCATCAGGCCCTTGTCTCGGGGTTGCCCCGGAAGGTGGTATGGTGGCCCCTGGTGCCTGACTTCTGGCTCATTTCAGGGGAGGGGTAATGGGGGTTTGGACCACTGGGCCTTGTACCTGCCAGGCAGGTGCTCTGCCTCTTGAGCCCTGCGCTCAGCCATCCTTTCTCTGGTTATTTTTGAAAAGTGTCCCTTCTTGCTCAGACCAGCTTGGACTCAGACCCTCCCGTCCTAATGACGTGAGAATGGCAGGCCATGTCCCACTCTCGGCTTTGTTTTCTGTTTTATTCTGTTTGGGGGGGGAGAGAGGGAGAGGGAGAGTGTGTGTGTCTGTGTGTGTGTGATGTGTGTGTGTGTGTGATGGGTGTGTGTGATGGGTGTGTGTGTGATGGGTGTGTGTGTGTGATGGGTGTGATGGGTGTGTGTGTGTGATGGGTGTGTGTGATGGGTGTGATGGGTGTGTGTCTGTGTGTGTGATGGGTGTGTGTGATGGGTGTGTGTGATGGGTGTGTGTGTGATGGGCGTGATGGGTGTGTGTCTGTGTGTCTGTGTGTGTGTCTGTGTGTGTGTGATGGGTGTGTGTGTGTGATGGGTGTGTGTGATGGGTGTGATGGGTGTGTCTGTGTGTCTGTGTGTGTGATGGGTGTGTGTGATGGGTGTGTGTGTGATGGGTGTGTGTGATGGGTGTGTGTGTGATGGGTGTGCGTGTGTGATGGGTGTGTGTGATGGGTGCGTGTGTGATGGGTGTGTGTGATGGGTGTGTGTGTGATGCATGTGTGTGTGATGGGTGTGTGTGTGTGATGGGTGTGGGTGTGATGGGTGTGATGGGTGTGTGTCTGTGTGTGTGTGATGGGTGTGTGTGATGGGTGTGTGTGTGTGTGATGGGTGTGTGTGTGATGGGCGTGATGGGTGTGTGTCTGTGTGTGTCTGTGTGTGTGTGATGGGTGTGTGTGATGGGTGTGTGTGATGGGTGTGTGTGTGATGGGCGTGATGGGTGTGTGTCTGTGTGTGTCTGTGTGTGTGTGATGGGTGTGTGTGTGATGGGTGTGTGTGTGATGGGTGTGTGTGTGATGGGTGTGATGGGTGTGTCTGTGTGTGTGTCTGTGTGTGTGTGTCTGTGTGTGTGTGTGTGATGGGTGTGTGTGATGGGTGTGTGTGTGATGGGTGTGTGTCTGTGTGTGTGTGATGGGTGTGTGTGTGATGGGTGTGTGTGATGGGTGTGTGTGATGGGTGTGATGGGTGTGTCTGTGTGTGTGATGGGTGTGTGTGTGATGGGTGTGTGTGTGTGATGGGTGTGATGGGTGTGTCTGTGTGTGTGATGGGTGTGTGTGTGATGGGTGTGTGTGTGATGGGTGTGTGATGGGTGTGTGTGTGTCTGTGTGTGTAAGTGATGGGTGTGTGTCTGTGTCTGTGTGTGTGATGGGTGTGTGTGTCTGTGTGTGTGATGGGAGTGTGTGTCTGTGTGTGTGTGATGGGTGTGTGTGTCTGTCTGTGTGATGGGTGCGTGTGTGTGTGAGAGTGTGTGTGTGTGATGGGTGTGTGTGTCTGTGTGTGTGATGGGTGCGTGTGTGTGAGTGTGTGTGTGAGAGTGTGTGTGTGTGATGAGTGTGTGTGTCTGTGTGATGGGTGTCTGTGTGATGGGTGTCTGTGTGTGTGTGTGTCTGTGTGTGATGGGTGTCTGTGTGTATGTGTGATGGGTGTGTGTGTGTGTGTGTGTGTGTGTGAGATCCTTGTCAGTACTCAGGGCTTACAGCTCTTGCTCAGCTTCCTCACTCATGGCTGGTGTTCTACCACTTGAACTCTGCCTCTGGTTCTGTTTTTTTCTGTTTAATTGGAAATAAGTCTCTCAGATTTGTCTTCCCTGAGCTGGCTCTGGACCGTGATCCTCAGACCTCCACCTCCTAAGCAGCTAGGATTATAGCTGTGAGCCAGAGGCCCCGAGCACCCTCCCAATGTTTTACTGGTTGAGATGAGGTCTTGAAAACTCTCTGCCAGGCGAGCCTAGAGCCACAGCCCTGCTAGCCTGCATCCTCTGGCTGCAGGCGTCAGCGCCTTGCTCAGCCCTGGCTCAATGATTTTGTGCCTCTCCCGGCACCGGACAACTCACAACTCGCCTTTCTGCTCACGTCCTCAACCACAGGGACCCTGGGCCAACTCATCTTAAGGAAGAGCAAAGAGAAAAGGCCTTCGCCTCAGCCCAGACTTCTCTAGAGTGCATCTGACCCGTGAAGAATCCCAGCCCTGTCTGACTCCCGCAGCTCCCAAGCCTGTGGCCAGCAGGCTCCTGAACCAGACAAGAGCTGGGCAGAAAGGGACAGAGTCCGGGGAGTGGCCTCGCCATGGACGGTGGCTAGCGATGCTCCAGTCCCAGAAGCTCTTCTGGATTCCACGGTGTCTCCAGGCTGGGCACTCCACCCTGAGCAGACAGTGAGTCCTCCCTGCATGGAGCTCCCCGGGGCCCTACCATGGACAGGGACAGAGAGGGGCCTTGTGCCTCCTGCCCTTGTCTTCACAGCAAATACCAACACCCCGGGTCCACCGTGGGCAGTCAGGCCCTGGCCCTGGTCACAACAAACTCACAGCAAGTGCCAACAAGGGGGCCCTGCTTGTTAGGGGCTTCCTTGGGACGGTAGAGAGCCTGCCTGTCTGCTGCGACATGTGTGAGGGTCGGTATGACCCACAGGCAAGCAACACCTAGCAGAGCAACATGGAGGTGGGCTAGAGCACCCCTCACCCCGCGAGCAGTCTCTAGACTCTAAGCTGTGGGCTCTGTGCAGCTGGTCCAACAGCTCCTGACCGCCTCTAGCACTCCAATTCCATGCGACCTCCCTTAGTGGTTGCCTGACTTGGACCAGGGTCTCCTCTGGATGGACAGTTAGGAGCACCATCCCAGTCCCCAAAAAATGCCCCCCCACCTCTGACCAGCCCTGGACTGCAGGCTGCTCAGCCTCAGGCCTCCCAGATTGCCCGCCAGAGCCAGCCCTCCACCGTCCTGTCCAGCACAGGATCCAACACGCTTTTCAGAGTCCAGCCCACCCTCCACACTCCAGGGCAGGCAGCCCACGAGCCCCGGGGCCTGGCTGACCCTGCACAAAGTCCAGGGTCAAGACAATGCCTGCGAAAAGCCATCTTCCTTATCGTAGGATTCTGGGGCCAAGACCCTCAATCCTGTGCCTGGCCACTGCTGCCCCTGGAGCCAACTCGGGGACCACACCTAGCAAGAGAAGAGCCCTTGGCTGCCCCCTCCCCGGCTGTGAAGGCCACCCGGGGGGACCTCCAGGACAGCCCCCCTACCAGACAGACACCCCCAGGCCAGTGTCTGACACAGCAACGCTGTGGGTCAGCCGCACTGACCCTGCTCAGCCCTGGGCCCTGCCCTGACTCGGCCTGACCGGCATTGGCGCGCCCCCAGCCGCCCCCAGCACTCACGTTGGGTGAGGGCTCCAGCATGTTGTCGCCGTGCCAGCCCGAGATGGGCACAAAGGGCACTGTGGCTGGGTTGTAGCCGATCTTCTTGATGTAGGCGCTGACCTCCTTCACAATCTCATCGTAGCGCTTCTCGCTGTAGGCAGGCTCCGTGGAGTCCATCTTGTTGACGCCCACAATGAGCTGCTTCACGCCCAGCGTGTAGGCCAGCAGAGCGTGCTCGCGGGTCTGCCCATTCTTGGAGATGCCAGCCTCAAACTCACCGACGCCTGCAGCCACGATCAACACCGCGCAGTCCGCCTGTGCAGCAGGGGCGCAGTGAGCCTCCTCTGCCTGCCGCAGGCCCCACCACACAGGCTGTGCTGGCGGTGGGGACTCCGTGGCGTGGCGTGGAGGACAAGGCTTGCATCGAGGGACCCAGATGTGGGAACCACGCTACCATGGGTGCTGCTGGATGAGTCTCTGTCCCTCTGTCCGTCTGTCCGTCCATCCATGAGTGCCCCCAGGAACATCTGGTTGTGTAGTCTGACTGTCTGAGTGTCTGCTCACATCCCAGTCTCTATCCTGGCTTTGTATCTGTCTGTGATGGGCACAGGGCGTCCATATCTGTCCCCCCCAATGGTCCCAGCACATAGTGCTGGATGCAGGCTGAGATCTGGGCCCCTGACTCAATTCTCAAGGACTCTGTGACAAATGCCCTGGTGGGAAACACAGGAGACCCCAATGCTCTGGAAGAAGTACAGGGGTCCCCAGGTGCACCCCTCACTGCCCACCTGGGACGTGCCAGTGATCATGTTTTTGATGAAGTCCCGATGCCCTGGGGCGTCGATGATGGTGATGTAGTATTTGGTGGTCTCGAACTTCCAGAGGGAGATGTCGATAGTGATGCCACGCTCCCGCTCGGCCTTCAACTTGTCCAGCACCCAGGCATACTTGAAGGAGCCTTTCCCCATCTGGAGAGATAGGGGGGCCTCAGGGCAGGTTCTCAGGGCCCTGGCCTCCCTGCTGGGCCAGCCCCAGGCCCTGGACGCAGCCCATGAAAGGCAGCTGGGCCCTGGGACGCTGGCCCTGGCCTGTCTCAGTGCAGCCACAACCCACCAGGTGCTGACAGGTCGTTGCCACCCAAGTCCACCAGCAGGTGGCGTGAGGGCCTAGAAGCTGACGGGCCCGGCTGACCCCCGCCCGAGTGGAGAGCTCCCCTTCATCTGAAACGGGGTACTCCTCACCCCTTCATCAACAAGAGGCAGTCACACCATGGATTTGTGGCTGTCCAACAAAAGGCCATCTGTGTTATTTTTAATAACAAGAAGGAAAGGAAAAACTGGATGAGGTTTTGATGAAGGCCTTGCTCTCCGTAGCCGGTAAAGACTCCCAATAGCTCAAAGGTACCCCTCCTCCCTCCACCCTCAGGATCAAAGCTGGCAGCCTTTCACAAACACTTGGGTGCCTGGGAACTGTGGGACCCCACCCCTACCCCCACCCCCGGGCTGGGCAAGAACTGTGCTTCAGAACCTCCATGGACAGACATCTGCCCTTGGGGAGACTTCCAGAACCTCTGCCCTTGGGGAAGCTTCCAGAACCTCCATGGATAGACGTCTGCCCTTGGGGAAGCTGCTGGTCCCCGAGCACCCACTCAGACAGGCGCAGCAGCTTGCCCTACCCCCATGCCAAGGGTGGGGACGTGGCTCTCGGGCCAGATGCACAGAGAACCCTGTCCATCACCAAGGCAGGGCCTCAGGCCAAGGTGCTAGACAAAGTCCTCTCAAAGCCCAGGGATGGGGGCAGAGGATAGACCCTGATCTTGGCTCTTTCTCACTCACCAGCCTCAGCCAGGAGGGAAAGACAGAGACAGAGAAAGACAGAGAGACAGAGACAGAGAGAGACAGAGACAGACAGAGACAGAGAGACAGAGACAGAGAGACAGAGATAGAGAGAGAAAGACACAGAGACAGAGAGACAGAGAGAGACAGAGACAGAGACGGAGACAGAGAAAGACAGAGACAGACAGAGAGACAGACACAGACACAGACAGAGACAGACACTGAGAGAGACAGAGAGACAGAGACAGAGACAGACAGAGAGACAGACACAGAGACAGAGAGAGAGGGATGGAGGGAGAGGGATGAAGGAGATGGAGGGAGGGAGGGGGGGGAGGAGGAGGGAGCGCGCCAGCCCCCTCATCCTCAGAAGGCGCTGGAGCCCTGCTCTGGGCAGATGCGGGGATAAGCAGCCCTCCCTCCCCCCCAGCCTGAGGAGATGGATGTGCAGGCCAGCTGCCCATCAATCAGCTATTAATAGCAGCCCTGAGCCCAGCCTGGTCCTGGGATGAGAAAGGGCAGCACCAGCCCAGCCCCAGCTTCAGGCCTCAAGGGCCTGCGAAGCTCTCACCCTCCAAGGCCCGGCCGTGGGCCTGTGCAGAGCAGGGGCCTCACCTCTCTGGTCCAACCCCCCACGGGCAAATCTGGCAGCACAATGGCCCCTTCCCGCCCATCGACCCCCCCCATCTTCTCTGGTGGGGACCGGGGCACACAGGCCCGGTGCCCAGGGGGAGAGCCGTGTTCCAGGGGCCAGGGCTAGAGCGGGGGACCCCCTCCCTCACCTCAGCCGCCTCCTTCTCGAACTTCTCAATGGTCCTCTTGTCGATGCCCCCACATTTGTAGATGAGGTGGCCGGTTGTGGTGGACTTGCCGGAGTCCACGTGACCAATGACCACAATGTTGATGTGAGTCTTCTCCTTGCCCATTGTGCCGGCCTGGGGAGAGGCTGGAGAGGCTAGCACACCAGGAGCTGCTGAGTGGGGGCTGGGGGGGGCTCACCCTCACCCTGTGTGGGGCGGGTGGGTAGCATCCACACCCGAGGCGGGGCCGGCTCTCCGCCCCTCTCCCAGGAGAGGGAGGCCTGGTCCCAGGCGAGCCAGGCGGGGTGTGGGCCCCACAGCGCCCCCGCCGCCGTCAATGCCCGGGGGAGCGCTCCTCCCCAGGGCACAGCGCGCGCGGCGCGCAGCAGCGGGGCAGCGGCTCCCGGTGATGAGTCACCGCGCGCGCCCGGGTGCCCTGTCCTGCGTGTCCTCGGGCTGCCACCAACCCCACCCCCGCCCTCGGCAGCCCGGGCAGACACCGCGCCCCACCCCCACCTGCTGCCGCCCGGGGGAGGCGGCCAGCGCTCCCGCGCCCCTCCCCGGCCCACGGCGCCATCTTCCTCTCCTCCCGGCCTGCGGGCTGGCTGGCGTCGGGAGGCGGGCGGGCGGTGCCGGCCCGGAGCCCAGAATAGCTCGAGCCCCTCAGGGCCGGGCAGAGGGCAGAGCTGGGAGCTGAGGGTCCCCGTGCGGCCGAGGCCAGGCTGGGGGGCTCGCCGCTCAGTCGCTGCTGGGGGCCTCGGCCGCACCTTCCCCCTTAGCCCAGTGCGGCCGGCTCGCCCGGCTCGGCCCGCGCCCGGAGAGCCCAGGAGGGGCCGCGGCCTGGGGCGGGGTTCCCGGACGCCCAGCCCTCCAGCCCCCTCCGCACCGCGGGCCCCAGGGCCTGCCCGCGCCCGCCCCGCAGCCCCGCGCCCCGCGCCCCGCGGGGCAGAGCCGCCAAGGTCACGGCGGGCGCCGGGCCGGAGGATGCGCGCGGCTCCGGACCGCGGCGGCAGAGCGGCCGTCCTTACCGAGCGAGCGGGCGGGCGGGCGGCGGGCGGAGCGGGCGAGGTCCCGGCGGGCGGCGGCGGCGCGGCGGTTTTATCCCTGCAGGAGGGGTCCTCCTCCGTGCGGCGGGCGGTGCGGTGCGCGCGCCCTGCGCTAGGGCACTGCGGTACCGGGGAGGCGGGGCGGGGGGGAGGACGCGGCGGGGGGGGGGGGGGGGGGGACGATCCGCTAAGACTCTCCAATGAGCGGCGCGCAGACGGGAGGCGCGGGGCCGGGGCGCAGGCGGGGCCGGGCCGGGGTGCGGGGCCGGCGTGCCGGGCCGGGGCAATGGCGGGGCTGGGGCACGGGGCTCAGGACGGGGGCAAAAGCGGGGCCGGGGCGCAGGCGGGGCCGGGGCATAAGTGGGACCGGGGCCGGGGCGCAGGCGGGGCCAGGCTGGGGCGCGGGGCCGGGGCGCGGGGCGCAGGTGGGGCGCGGGGCCGGGGCGCGGGGCGCAGGCAGGGCCAGGCCGGGGCGCGGGGCGCGGGGCGCGGGGCCGGGCCGGGGCGCAGGCAGGTCAGGCCGGGGCACGGGGCGCGGGGCGCAGGCGGGGCCAGGCCGGGGCACGGGGCGCAGGCGGGGCCGGGGCGCGGGGCACTGGGCCGGGGCGCAGGCAGGGCCAGGCCGGGGCACGGGGCGCGGGGCCGGGCCGGGGCGCAGGCGGATCAGGCCGGGGCACGGGGCGCGGGGCCGGGCCGGGGCGCAGGCGGATCAGGCCGGGGCACGGGGCGCGGGGCCGGGCCGGGGCGCAGGCGGATCAGGCCGGGGCACGGGGCGCGGGGCCGGGCCGGGGCGCAGGCGGGGCCAGGGCGCGGGGCCGGGCCGGGGCGCAGGCGGGGCCGGGGCGCAGGCGGATCAGGCCGGGGCACGGGGCGCGGGGCCGGGCCGGGGCGCAGGCGGGGTCGGGGCGCAGGGCCGGGCCGGGGCGCAGGCGGCGCCGGACTGCGCTCTGAGCCCCTGGACGCACCGAGCCTGCGCCTCCCACATGAACAGGGTCCCCGGAAACCGCTCCGGCCCGGGTTGGGGCGAGGAGGGGCCGTGTGTCCCGCCGTGCCGAGGCCGGGCCCGGGGCTTCCCGGGCTGCCCGGAGACCCAGCCCGCCGCCCCGCCCCAGCCCTCTCCTCCCGGCCCGGCATTGCCTCCTGGGCAGGCGGGTAGAGGTCTCGGCCGGTGTCACGAAGCAGGTCGCACAGCCTCCCCACCGGGCCCGGCTGGGTCCCTCCCGGGACCCTCCTTGTCACCCCACGCAGACTCCGGCCTTCTCCTGGCCCTACTCCACAGGGGTCCTCACCCCTGCGGGGTCTGCAGGCAGGGTGGACAGCAGGGGCACAGGGGACACAAGAGAGGCGCCCGCCCGCACCCCCACCCCAGCCTCCTGGCTGGTGTGAGGAGGGGCACAGGTGAGGGTCTGGGCCTGCCTGGGGGCCCGGGCCTGCGCCCCAGCCAGGGCAGCGGGGCCTCTCAGATGGCCTGACACTTCCGAGGGCTGCTGACCGTGTCCGTTGGGAGCCAGGAATTAAAAATAAACCCTCTAGCCCTGCCCCACTGGCCGCTGGCCGCTGCCCGCCACGTTCGGTGCCTCCTTTTCTTGCCAGGTTGGGCCAGGATCGGGATTGGAGGCTGGCTGGCTGTAGGTGCCGTGATTGGCCAAGGCTGGCAGGCAATGGTCAGATCCTAGGGACTTCCACCAGTAGGCAGGGCCTGGGCACCCCTAGCTCCAGGGTCTGCACCAGACACTGTTTCCTGCACAGTCTGGCCACCGCCTCACCCCCGGACAGCAGTGAGCGGCAAGGTCGGGACCAGGACCTCGCACCTGGCTGGGGACTGTGCCACCCAGACCACTGGCCACAGCCAGGACTCTGCCCTGACCTGGGGCTCCCTGGCCCCCCTCCAGAGCCTACGTAAGGTAGCGATGCAGTATGGTAAAAAGCTAGCCCTGCAGGGTAGCTCTAATGCTGTCAGTGCCAGGCGACAACCAACAACCCAAAGCACCGAGTAATCAGGACAGTGCCGGGTGACAACTAACCACCAAAGTACCGAGCAATAAGGACAGTGCCGAGTGACAGCCCCATAGTACCAAGTAATTGCAACTGTGCTGTGACAACAGTCCAACAGTACAAGAATCCCTACCTACAAATTCTCCACCTGCTGGGTAGCTACTGTTGCCATCTGAATGAGCCCCTCAAGTCCTGTCAAAGGCTTAATCCCAGAGCTGGGGACCAGCGCCTGTCATCCTAGCTACTCAGGAAGCTGAACTCTGAGAATCCCGTTCAAAGTCAGCCCAGGCAGAAAACTCTGTAAGACTCTTATCTTCAATTAACTACCAAAAAAGCCAGAAATGGAGGTAAGGCTCAAGTAGTAGAGTGCTAGCCTTGAACAGAAAGCTCAGGGACAGTACCCGGACCTTGAGTTCAAGACCCAGGATCAACACCAAAAATAAAAACGAAACAAAAAGAAACTTAATCCCAGGACAATAGTGCCGGTAGTGGGGGTCTTGGTGGGGGTGTCTGGGGGCCCACCTCAGCCGTGGGTTCGTGACCCTGGAAAGGCTGTAGGAAGGGTCTCTCCTACTCTATGCCTCACCATGTCACGCCTCAGCCAGCAGCCCTGACCACGAGTCCAGTGTTGATCTTGGACTTCTAGCCACCAAAACCACAAGGAGTAAAACTCTGTTCTTCATAACTTCCCCAGCCAATGGTCTCCTGTCAGGCCAAGTGGACTAGGATGGCCGAGAACCATACAAAACAATACTAAGTAACTACATCAAACACAAGATAGTGACCAGAATTTCCACGCCCTGTGCAGGGAGGAACTGAGCACAGAGAGGTTAAGCATGCTGCCTGAGGTGACACAGCGAGGAGGAGGCTCAGCAGGCCTTGGCCAGGCCAGTGTAACGTCCAGTCAGACTCCGGCCCCACCTGCGGCCACGACCTGTGCTGACTGTCCCCTCTCCGAGTGGGTCGTCACCACCGGCGGGGCCAGCTAGGCAGGGAGGCACGCCAGGAAGGAAATCGGGCTCTCCTCCTCAGCCCCCTCCTGGAGCCCTGGGGGTCCATCCTTGAGCTGTTGGGAGACTCAGCAGCCTCCTCTTTGGCTGGCTGGGGTTTCACGAGCTTGGGAATGAAGGTCCAGCTAAAATTAACTATTATCAAGCTGTCAGCCCTGGAAATAAACTTGCTTCCCATTGGGTGCCGGTGACGTCACTTCAGGTTAATAATAGCTCAAGTGCACAGAAGCCACCTGTGCCTTGCCTCCTGGGCCTCTCCTGACAGTGACCTGTGAGCCACGGCCCCGGGGCACTGCAGATGGCTAGTGCTGGGCCCAACGTGGCTGGACAGGGGCTTGGGGTCAGAAGAGAACCAGGGTGAACTGTCTGTGGATGGCCGAAGCCCAGCCTTGACCCCAGACTGCATGCATGTACATCTTACCGGCCCTCCTCCCTGGCATGCAGGGTCCCGAATGGCCACAGGGCCAGGTCCTCCCCGTGGCCACTCTCACAGCACCAGGAGCCTCGCAGGCCAGGAGCTCTTAGCTCAGCTCCGCTTGGAAAAGCAATGACTTGCCTTCCCAGGGGCTGGGTGGTGGCCGGTGCTGGGCAGACCAGCCAGCCAGACCAGGGCCAGCATGGCCGGGCCCAAGCCACCCTCAAAACTCACGTAGTCAGGGAGCCCCAGGCCCCAGGGAGCCGTTGCCGCGGGGACGGGGGGGGGGGGGGTGGGGGGGGGCACCGCCGGTGGGAGGCTCCTCCCTCCTCTCCAGGGATCTCAGCACTGGCTAAGGAGCACTTCTGCTCACCAACAGCCCATGGCGGAGGGAGCAGCGGGCCTCTGCGGTGCTCATCGAGGACCCGGATGCCAAGGAAGAGGCCAAGCTAGCCTGAGAGCTCCTGGGGTCAGGATGAGGGCAGGGCCAAGAGGACTGGAGGGGGTTCTTCAGTAGATGGGGAGACGGCTCTGCTCCCTCTGGCGGCCCCCATCTCTGGCTGGACCCCTTAGCGCTCACCAGAGTCCGCTCCCTCAGGTGAGCCAGCCCTGGAAGAGGAGCGGTCACACTGTGCTGCCCGACTCCGCCCGGGGACCTGACACCAGGTTCAGGGGG